ATTTAACCACTGCGCCACCTTGGCTCTTAATGGTTCCCTAGTCACCTCTGCCATTACCAGATTGTTTTTTAGTCATTTTTTCATGTTCTGCGCATGAAATTTACAGGCAACTGCATGTGCGCACAGTGAACAGCAGCGCACATAAAGCAATATGAAGTGAACTGGCAGCGTGCGCTAAGTGAACAGGCAGCAACCCACCCCTGCTGCAAACTCGCACAGTTACGCACTCCCTCTTCCACACACTTCCTCTTCTACACTTTTTCATCCTGCAAACATCCTCTTCCAACAAACTAGAAAAGTTACACATTCCTCTTCCATAAAATCCCTCTTCCACACTCTTTTTTTCCTGCAAATGCATGCATGCATGCACATAGTAACACACTCCCTCTTCCAGTAATCTCGTATGGTTACACTCTCCCTTTTCTATACTACCTCTTCCATAAGCTCCTTCTTTGTTTCTGGAAACACATACACACACATGGCCTCACACTCTCTTTTCCAACAAACTCAAATAGCCACACACTCCTCCTTTCTTCCAGCAACAGAGAAACGTTTGCCAATGGTGTACATTCACTGGGAGAAAGAGGGAGGGTTTGGCTGCACAATTCTTCTTTAAGAGGGAGTGTGTGCCTTGTGCATGTATTTATAGGAAGAAAGAGGGAGTGTTGGGAAGAGAGATTGTGTGGCATGTGAGTTTGCTGGAAGAAGGAGTGTGTGGCTGCATGTGTGTGTGCGATTGCAGGAACAAAGAGGGAGAGTAGAGGGAGTGTGTGGCTCTGTGAGTTTTCTGGAAGAGGAAGTATGTGCCCATGTGCATGTGTGCATTTGCAGAAAGAAGGAAGGAAAGTGAGTGTGAAAGAGAGTGTATGACCACGTGAGTCTGCTGGAAGAGGGAGTATAAGCTATGCATGCCCATGTGTGTACCAGAAGAAAAAGTGGGAATGTAATAAGGAAAGAATTTTGATGAAACAGAGGGCTGTGTCTGTGTCTCAGAAAAAGATGGCTTCTTTTCTGCCATGTGGCCCAGTAATGGAGCTTGCCCTCCTATCCTGAATTCTTGAGCTCTGAAGATCTTCAAAAGTAAAAGGATCATTTGGTGACAGGATGGGTACAGAGCTGGGTGTGGAAGAGGACCAAGTGATGGGCCCCAAGAGTTGGGAAGCAGTGCATGCTTTAACTTGGGGGAGGCTTTGGGTGGCCAAATTCCACTGCTCTTGTTACTGCACTAGTCCCACCATCATCTTCCCCATTCAATTTACCCCATGCATACTTAATGACCTGTACATTTGTTTAACAAATGCATTGGGGAGAGCTGGGATGGGGACTCATTCACTTAAAATAGATCAATTAATATGCTCCTGACTTTTGACTCTAATGGACAGGCTCCATTATGGTTATAACCTGTATTGTAAGATGGAACAGTCATGTGAAATTGTGCTTAATTATTGAGTTGCTTAGTGACAAAGTTGCCAGTTCCAATTGAGGTCAGTAAAGACCACCTGTAATTAATACATTTGCAGTCCTTAAGGCTGAATATCATTCTAAATGAACTGATTTTAATTTTTCTATTTACAGTGTAATGAGAGATATTTTCACATGCCTTACTTACTAATATTCATCCACAAAAAAGTTGAAATTACCAAGCCAACCAAATATTTTAATCAATACCCATTTACTCTTATGAATAAATTTATAAAATGGAAAAAAATTCTTTATTTACTTATTTTGGAAAAATTTTCAACCAGCATTGTCATTGTCATACAGCAGAACTCCATTGGGGGAGGGATGCATTAGTCAGTATGTGCATACCTTCTACTATAGTTTTGTAAGTCTGAATATGCATGTAGAGTTTTAATTATGATCATTGTTAAAATACAGTAATTTTCATATTAATGTTTGTGTTAATCCTCCACTCTTGGAATTATTAAATAAAATTAAAATAAGATTAGGAGAGGTAATATTTTTACCTTAGATGTGGAAGGTAGTTAGTTATCTCTCACAGCCTAATATCTGGAGGTTAAAAAATATTCCAATTGAAAGTATTGACAAACTTCCAAAAAATTTACCAATCTTACCAAGAAAAATGCATGCCTGTGTATTTATCAGGAATCAAGTCAAGAATAAGAATTGTGTTTGAATTTTTACTGCAATCTTACTTTTCCTTTATATTTGGTGGATTTCAATTTCAGGCGATTTGTGGTATTGTCACCTGCCTTGATAATAATCCTCATAAACTTGAAACTGGACAATTTGTAACTTTCCGGGAAATTAATGGAATGACATCTTTAAATGGATCTACCCATCAGATAAGTGGTAAGCCATTTTTTTTTCAAACTGCAGCAATAGTAAAATCATATATTTATAAATTAAATTTATAACAAGAAAGATTTATATACAAAATATCTGTTCTAATGGAATTTTGAAGTAGGGGGACAATACACTACTATCATAGGAAAAATGGTTAATAAGTTAATTCTTACAAAAGGATTCTAGATGCTTGGTTATTTTACCTTCCTAAAGATTCCTGAATATATTTTATGCATTTTGTATCCATTGTATAATTTATTAATAAAGATTAATAATACCTGCAAAAATAGCTACTATATGGTTTTGATAGACAGCACAATGAAATTTACACAGTCCACTTGTAAGCATTGTTTCTTATTTTATTTTAATGTATTAGATTTATGTCATGCCACACAGAGCATTTGACGTAACACAAAAAATAATTTACCAGGACACACTTTTTAGCATAGGTTGGAACATTTCAAGTATTTACCTTGGAGAATATGAAATCCTGAGATACTTTTGACAGTACTGCCTTCAATAAATGTCATGTCCTCAGACACTGTAAACTATCCCTACCCTAGGTGTCTGAGAAAAGAATGACCTTAGAACAATTTCAGTGGAAGAGTATGGGTGGATTCTTCAGAAGGAAAAATAATATTTCCTCTGAAATGCACACCTTTAAGTACAATGCATGTTCCAAACTGATCACTGGAGCAGAATTATGATGTACCACTTCAAATTCTTCAACTTAAAGTGGATTTTTAAAAATCGGAGATGTTTTTTCTAGCAGGTCAAACTAATGGGAAAGAAAGTCAAAATAGTAAGAAGTTCTTAGATAAAATTATTCTTAAAATCACAAACAATTCCAACAAAGAAAACCAAATTGAAGATTGCAGATGAAGCAATTGTAGGCAATACTGAAGATCTTAAGGAGAACTCATAAGTGGGGAAAAGAAAGGCCAAAGTTTTTTGAAATGATAGCATCTATAGGGTATTGCCAACTACAGGAGACAGTGCTCATCTCCATTTCAAGGGTGTTGAGCCAACACTGTCTGAAAACGTTTCCATTGTGATGTGGCTTGCATGACATGGAGCCAACCTTGACTGTTGGCTTTCCAACCAATAAACCTGGTGTCTTAACTGCTGAGCCACAATGCCATCCTAAATATAAGTAGACTCATGATACCCAATATGTCAATCTTCAACTGATCAGCGAAGGCAGTCCAGGTTCTGTCCTAGTTTTTGGAGTTTGTGCACGTTTGGATGTTGAGGAACTGCCTCTGATTCAATCTTATCAAGACCTAGATCTGGGGATACTCTATCTTTAATTTTGGATAAGGTTGCATTTCCCCATTTAAGAGAGAAGTACAATTTGGAGGTCTTCATGGATTTGCGTGAGCAGGTGTGTGAGTTGCACTGGTTACCATATGCTTCTGGATGCAATTCATTATGATCTATAAAGATCTACATGGAAAAATCTCATTATCTCACTACATCTCTACAGAAATGCACAACACCAAGGATTAAAAGCGAGAATCCATATGGGTCAATATAAAAGGAAAAAAGAATGACATTGCTATAAGCATATACTACAGGCCACCCAACCAAGCAGAAGAAAAGAAGTCTTTGCTAATCAGTTAATTAATGTATGTAGGAAACATACTGTAATGGAAGACTTTAACTACCCTGATATTAATTGGAAGACAAACTGCAGCAAGTGGGAGATTGAACAGATTCCCAACCAACTTAGCTGAAAACTTTGTCATCCAAAAGGTATAGGAGTGAACTAGAGGAAAAGCTATATTGGACCTAATTTCTTACTAATTGAGAAGAAGTGATAGAGTTGAAGTCTCCAGAACACTCAAGTGTCATATTGGAATTCAATATAATGTGAACACAAGCTGTAGAATATAACCAACAGTGTCTTTACTTTAAAAGAGCTGATTTTAACAAACTGGGAAAGACCCTAAGAAAAATCCTATGGATAGCAATAGCAATAGCAGTTAGACATATACCGCTTCATAGGAATCATAGGCCTCTCTAAGCGGTTTACAGAGTCAGCATATTGCCCCCACAGTCTGGGTCCTCATTTCACCCACCTCGGAAGGATGGAAGGCTGAGTCAACCTTGAGCCGGTGAGATTTGAACCGCTGAACTGCAGATAGCAGTCAGCTGAAGTGGCCTGCAGTACTGCACCCTAACGACTGCGCCACCTCGGCCTGGATAAAAATCCTAAAGGGAAAACAACTCAAAAAGGATGGGAAACTCTGAAAAATATGACCATAAAAGTCCAATCCAACACAATACCACTGAAAAAGAAAAACAAGAAGAGACCAGCATGGTGCACATAAGATCTCTCTGATCAATTGAAAGACAAAAAGGACAAATCCAAAAAAATTGAAAGAAGACACATAACTAAGGCAGATTAATAATAGCTAGCCTGAATTGGCAAAGAGGAAATCAGAAAAGCAAAGGCTCAGAATGTATAAAAGTCAAACATAATAAAAAAAAGTTTCTTAACATATAAATAAGAAGAAAACTTGGAGTGTGTTCTTGGAGTCCTAGTGCACAATCACTTAAACATGAGCTAGCAGTGTGGCAGCAGCCAAAAATGCTAATATAATCTTTGGTTATATAAACAGAGGTGTAGAATCAAAATCTATTAGTAGTATTAGTGCTATTTTATAAACACTTAGTAGGACATACCTGGAATACTGCATCCACTATTTGTCACTACATTATGAAAAAGATGTTGAAACTTTGGAAAAAGTGCAAAGAAGAGCAACTTTTAACCTTCCAGAAAACCTTAAAAGTCTTGGCTGTTCTACTTCTCTAAACTACCAATGTTATTTTGAAATTATTTTCTGTGTTACAATCCCAACCAATGTTATTTATAAATTTCATAGACATATCTTCCTGCTTTTCATCCAAGAGGCTTGCTAGTGGCCAATAGTTAAATATTAGGTATAAACAGGCCAATTTTGTCTGGAATTCCATGTCCCAAACATTTCACTTAGGTTTATCGAATTTATTTTTAGAAAAACCAACAAAACTACCTTAGAAGAACATACCGTATTTTTCGGAATATAAAACACAATGGAGTATAAAATGCACCAAAGTTTTGAAGAGGCAAATTTTTAAAAAAAGATTTTGCACTCTGCAGACTTTCTCATAAAGGCCCGTTTTTCACGAAAACGGACACAGTTTGTTTGTTTTTTTACAAAAAAAGGACATGAATAGCCTTTAGGAGCCTTTGTACAGTATTCCGGGGGCGGGGGCAAAATGAGCAAAACGGGCCCAGTTTTTGTAAAAAAAAAGGGGGGGGAATGAATTAACCTTTAGGAGGCTTATAGAGTGCTCCTGGGGGGTTGGGGGGGGGCAAAACTGAACAAAAAAATGGCCCATTTTTCGTTCATTTCTGCCCTTCCCAGCCCCCAGGAGCTCTTTGAAAGCCTCATTAAAAGCTATGCACCACCATTTTGGTGAAGGGGGCAGGGTTTCGTAAGACAAAAAATGCTATGTTCAGTGTATAAGACACCCAGATTTTCAGCCTCTTTTTTTGAGGGGAAAAAGGTGCATCTTATATTCCAAAAAATACAGTAGTCTGTAGAAGGATTCCCTGGAATGTTCCATTTCCAAACCAGAGAGTTCTGCATATTACTATTTTATATTATCATTTATATTATTTTATATTATCATTTTATATTAGTCTGATTATTATATAGTTTTTTTTTGTAGTCATGGAACAGATTTTCATTACTTTGTAATGAATTTTGTTCCATTTTTATATAATTATGTATGATAGAGAATTAGCTTACCATTGTATAGATTGATTAGGTCAGAACTGAATTCAAAACAGTAAAAGTCAAACTAGATGTGTAGAACGATAAACATTTTCATTTTCTTTTTATTTAAGATTATCAGATAAGTAAAATAAAAAACCCCTCAAACTAATTTCTCTCTCTTTCAGTGATATCACCTTATTCCTTCAGCATTGGGAATACTGCAGATATGGAACCTTATTTACATGGTGGTATAGCTGTCCAAGTAAAGATACCTAAAGTATTTCATTTTGTAAGTGACTTTAAAGATAATTATTAACAGTATGTGTATTCATTCTTCTAGATTTTATTGACCTGAATGTGATGAATTAATGTATGGAGAATAATCAGAAAGAATGAAAAATCTTAATGAGGCAGGCAAATACAGTTAGCAAACATTATTAAATCTTTGTTTGATAAAATTCATGAGTTGAATGCCAGTATTGAGGTGTATAAGTTATATATAAAAAAAAACCTGGCCATATGAAAAGGGAAGAGGAATGTGTTATATATGAAGAAAGTACACACATATGCTGAAAACCAGTAATACTTACTTGGTACAAATTTGAATGTATACTTGATGCATAGCCAAAGTAGAAACTATATATATATGGTAAGTATAAAAGTTTGGTTACCTTTTACAACTTCATAACAAGTTCTTTGGCATAAAAATAGGTTCTAAATGCTTCTGATAGCAAACTGAAAATCTTTGTAATCTTTATTAGGGCTTTTACACAAGGGAGTGAGGTTTGCTGCCTTTTGGCATGTCAGTTGTCCTAAATGTCTTGATGAGGATTTTATTGTTTGTGTGCCTGTTTCTAATTATTGGTCCTTTAAAAATCTATTTTTCCTTCAGCTTTGTTTTATTTTTATGCCTTTTGGTCAGAAATATGATTGTTACATCTTTTTATTAGTTTCATTAGAGAATAGATTCTGAATTTTTCTGATCTAAAAGTTTCAGCTGTATCTAAATAATATATATGTTGTCCTTCTTTACTGACTGCCCCATTAATGACTCTTTGAAGTTATGACAATGCTTAAAAAAATAACTTCACAACCAGAGTGCATTTTCAACCATCATAATATGCCTCATTCATGTGATCACCATTTGTGGGCTTTGCAACTGACTTGTGAGAAGCAGTTAATATAGAAGGCAGAAGTAAAAGTATAAGGCACAATCACATTTTTTTTGTTTAGCAACCACAACATTTAACTTAATGATTGGAAGGAAAGTAGGATCATAAGCCTATAATGGTCATGTGATTTTCTTCTTAGGCACCACATGACTTAACAATAAAATTGTCAGTTCCAATTGTGAGATGAGTTGAGTTGAGTTTATTATATTTCTCTGCCGCCCTATTCCCCGGAGGGGACTCAGGGCGGCTCACAACCAAGTCGGGGTGGGGGGGGGGGGTACAAATAAGAAAAAAGAACACGAACAAAACAATACCACAATTTAAAACACTCAACAACCATACCATTCGAAGGGGGACAAAAAACTCATTAGCCCCAGGCCTATCGGAACAGCCAGGTTTTAAGGGCTGTGGTTGTGGTTACTAATGGTGGTTAGTAATTGTGGTTACTAACCAAGAACTAATTCACTGAATAAACAATTCATTGAACTAGTTAAGCATGTTTTAAAATAGGACAAGACAGGAAAGAACAGAATATATAACCAATTCAAGGCAAAGTGTCTGAGAATTTAGAAAGAATAGGATCCCATGAGAATCTGATGATATGCATCAAATATTCATAAGTTGTTTAGAATATATTACATTGATTTTTTTAAAAATAGATCCTTTACTTTTAGTCTATTGTGTAAACTTAGCCCATATGGTTGGGTTGAAAAAAGTAATTGAGTAAACCATAGGTAAATTAACAAGAACAGCAACAGTCTTCCCATATAAATAGTTCACCCATTTTAATATCCTAAAACAGCTGTCCCCAATCTTTTGGGCACTAGAAACCGGTTCTATGGAATGTGGTTTTTCTGCTGCCTGGAAAAGGGGCATGATTTCATGTGCTGCCTGGATCCTATACATGCATGGATAGAGCTCACTTTCAAGTCCCAGTTTTTAATGGGCTGCAGACTGATGCCCTCTGTGTCTAGGGGTTGGGAACCCCTGTCCTAAAAGAGTTTTGGTGCGTGGATGTTGGAGCAATAGTACAGTACTTGTTAATTGATATTGTGGAACAATATAAAGATTATGCTCATTGTGATTAGCTCAACAACTATACCTTGTTGCTGGTGATTTTTCTGTGGAGAATGGTGGGATTTTATCTTCTTGAAACTCTCTTTAAAACATTTTTATTTTTTCCACTATCTTCGGGATCACATTCTATTTTTTGGATTGTTTCTGCTATTGTACTAATATTAATGCATGAGTTTGAAAAATAAGGACAATCTTAATTCAGTTTGCTTGTGATTATTTCTTCATTTTGGAAATTATATATGGATTATTTTTTCCTCCTAGGAACCATTGGAGAAGCAGTTGTATAATCCAACCTATATTATTGCTGACTTCAGCAAACCTGAGGTTAGTTTATTTGGAATATATATAAAGATAATTGAACTTAAAAATAATTTATTGAATGCACATGAATTAAATTAATTTTATTTATATGCTGGTTTTTTTTCAAAATAGAATTTAAAATAGTGAAAAATCAACATAAACCCATAAACCCTACGTTCATTAATCTACTGATGATACTGCACTTTGTATCAACAAGATTTTTGTGGCTTCTGAGGCTATATTTGGTCCATGGAACAGCATTCCCCCCTCTCCACCACCCCCCCCGGCAGTGATCTAGGTTACTCTGACCACCTACCATTTTATAAGGCTCTGAACATCTGGGTGTTCCTCCAGTCTTTGGGGTCAGGCAGCTAGCTAAGCTCTACTGGTGACGTGGTTTTGTTTGGAGGGTTGTTGTTTCATTAGGGCATTATGAGTGTAAACAGTTATAACGGCTTTAAACTTTGTATACTATTTGGATTAACAGCTGTCAGATGTGGGGGTTCTATAAATTGTATGTATATATGAAAGTGTGTGTGTATACACTTACACACAAATCCAGATGTAGAAAAAGCAATGTATGTATGTATGTATGTATGTATGTATGTATCTATCTATCTATCTATCTATCTATCTATCTATCTATCTATCTATATGCCAGAATACTGCTTGCTAAGTTGACTATCCCCTTAAAATCCTTAAGTCATTAATTATATTTAAAAATAAATAAAAGCTGTAAAAGAAAAGATGTGCTTGTGAAAATAATTTATTTAAATCTCTTAAAGAGATTTGCAAAAAAGAATATGACAGATATTTGGAAAAGCAGCTCAAGCTAGATATGACTGCAAATTAAATTGAGCAAAAACAAATGAGTTTTGTAGCATGTTCTAGGAATAGAATTTATTAGAATTAGTGTCCATTTTGTCAGATTTGTTAACATTAAAGATGTCAGCATGTATTTTACTCAGTGGGCTTTAAAGTATAAAAGCTTATGCCATAATAAATCATTTAAACTTTACAGCACAAGATTTGTGGCTGTTTTGTTGTATAATAACATAATATAGTTATCTTTTGGAAAACTGTATTTTTTTAACCTTATACTATACAATATTTGTTCTTTTTATAGGCACCTCTACAGATTCATATTGCTATGCTTGCTTTGAATGAATTTCAGGACAGTTTTGCTCGCATGCCAAACATTGGGTAAATACACATATAATCATAATTACATAAATATTATAATTAAGTTGGTGTAAATTTTAATATATTTATATTTGCTTATTTCTTGATTTAAATTAAATTGTAATTTTATGCATACTTAACTTTTTTAAAGTCTGATTTATTACAATGGAGTTGAAGTGGTTTAATTGTAAATAAGATAAGATAACTTTTAATATCATTTTTTTCTGTGAATACATATACATCCACATCAGTAATGGTATCCTCTTTTCTTCACTACCGGTTCGGTAGCGGGAGCATGCACGTCTGGGCATGCGCAGAACCTTCTGCATATGCTCAGGATCTGTGATGACGTCTTGGTGGGTGGACAGAGCATCGCGCCACTGCCATTACCAGTTCACCTGAACTGGCAGAATACCACCAGTGATAGACATAAATGTACCTATGATATCTATATCTGTCTGTCTTGAAAACAATAATATTTCCAAACCACACAGTAACACAATACAACAAATTGCTTTCAGTCATCTCTCTATAGAAAGTGGTAAGGATAGTGAGAGGAAGATAAGTTCTTCTCATATTTCACAGAAAATACAGGTGCTGTTGTGCCCGCTTCACCAGTGTTTCACTGATTGAGGACCAAGCTAATCTCCTCATCAGCTGCACTCCCAAAACCTTGATACTACTAACCAACTCCATAGTTGAAGCATTAATACACAAAGGTGTCTTTTCTGAAAGCAACAATGATTTCTTATTTTTCATACATTTAAAACCAGATTGTTTTTATTACACTAGTAATAAATCTTCTACCTCCCTCCTTCCAGTAATTACTTCAATATCATTCTGAATAAGACCCACTATTATTGTACCATCTGCATACTTCACAATGTGGTTTGTAACAAACCTTTTGCAACAATCATGGGTTAGCAAGGTGAACAACAGCAGCCTTAGGACACAGCCTTGAGGAGAACCTGTGCTCAAGAACATGATGTTAAAAATATTAGCTCCAACTCCCACATTCTGGGGCCTATTAGTGAGAAAATTAAAAATCCAATTGCACAAAAGAGTATTGAAGTCTAAAAGGCCCAGTTTATTTACTAAATCCTGAGGCATGATTGTATTAAATGCCAAACTAAAGTCAACAAATGGTATTCACACATGAGTATTTCTTTCCTCTTAAGTTTGCCAAGCTCAGATGGAAAACATAGGAAATAGCATCCTCAGTGAAATGATTTGGATGACAAGCAAATTGAAGTGAGTCAGTTGCTAAGGGAGGCTGTATACAAAAACTCCTTTCAGAACATTTCATAATGATGGACATAAGTGCAATTAGAAGATACTTATTAAGGTCTGTAATTGAAGACATTTTTGGCACTAACAAAATAATGACAGTCTTAAAACATGATGAAACCACGGTCAGTTGCAGTGAAAGATTGAAAATATCTGTAAGAACACAAGGCAGCTCATTAGCCCACTCCCTAAGAACATGCCAGGAATGTTACCTGGTCTTGCTGCTTTCCAAATGTTAACTTTCCATAATGTTGTTCAGAAGTAACATCAAAGCTAAGCACTTTGATGGGGCACAGCTTTCCTTGCAGAGGTGCTATTTGATGCCTCGAATCCCCCCTCCCCAAAATGTTCAGCTCATTTTAAAAAGTCCAAATCATCCTTTCAGTATGAGGCAGTTTAGCATAGTTTAGTGTAGTTAAAACACCAAACTAAAAATTGGGAAACATTTGGCCAATCTCTCCTGTTCAACCCTAGGAAAATCTTGACCAAACTTGCAGGGATTAGTCTTGGAAGTTGGCAGGAGCCAACACTGACACCAACGAAAAGTATTGTCTTTCTCTCCCTCCTTCCCTCCCTCCATCCATCCATCCCTCCCTCTTTGCATTTGCTTTTGAACAAGTTGCTGTTTTCAGTAGGTTTTCATTGTATCAATCTTTCAGGACTGGTGGACAGGTCCAACCTTCTGGACCCAGAAGATAGTATCACCTAACTTGTTTCTATCTGTTCTGCCCTGGAAACACTTCAAAACTGCCTGTTATTTATTCTATTTGCCATCTGAGCAGGTAGAACCTTCCATTATCCTTAATCTGGTGCAATAATTGAGAAAATTAAAGTATTAAATTTCACTATAGCTCAGAAAAACCCATTTGATTATTTTAGAAATTTAAATTAATAACTCAAGCAAAGGTTGGGCAGTCATCTGTTGAATGTTTTAATATTTTTATTAATAATTTAACAAAGTTGTAAGGGACCTTGGAGGTCTTCTAGTCCAACCCCCTGCTTAGGCAGGAAACCCACCACCACTTCAAACAAATGGTTCTCTAATCTCTTCTTAAAAACTTTCAGTGTTGGAGCATTTACAACTTCTGGAGGCAAGTTGTTCCACTGATTAATTGTTCTAACTGTTAGGAAATTTGTCCTTAGTTCTTGTTCTACCTGGAGGTGCTTTGGAGAATAGTTTGACTCCCTTTTTTTTGTGGCAACCTGTGAGATATCGGAACACTACTATCATGTCACCTATAGTCCTTCTTTTCATAAGACTAGACATATCCAGTTTCAGCAACCGTTGTTTATATGTTTTATCCTCGAGTCCCTTGATCATCACTTAAATATGAGTCAGCAGTGTGCAGCAGCTGCCAGTAAAGTCAACACAGTTCTAGGCTGCATAAACAGAAGGATAGAATCAAGATCACATGAAGTGTATGTGTTATATATTTTATTATTATTATTCATATTAATATATATCATTCATATTAATCCAATTCACACTAACAATGTTAGTAATTTTGGTCACATTTATCAAATTTAAGTAATCTTCATTATATTATTTAAACATACATAAAAAGTGCCTAACATCTGTAAACTTCTAATCTTTCTATCTGTTATTTTTATTCATTCTATTAAAAATTATATTCTAATATTTCCTCTGTCTAATTTTATTTCTGCATCTTCAGCTTACAATCAGGTTACTTTAATATTTAATGAGAAATTTTCTCTATCCATTATCTCTTTTACTCTGTAGTGCTTCAATTATTATCCATTTTTAGTTCACCTCCCACACTCCTCATCTTTATCTCTATCTGCATCTATGTCTTTCTTGTTCAATCTAAACATTTCTCCCAGTACAATCTCATACTGCCAATTTTCCCAGATGTCTGCCCATATCCCAGCCTCCTTATCTAAGGTATCTTCCTGTCTCTCCAATTGTTGATTTGTCTTTTATTTTCTTCAGTCTTTCGTCCTTTAACAGCTGATTTGTCAGTCCTATTTTTGTTCCAGTCCTTGATTTATTTGTTGATGTGGCCAATCCATCTTTCCACTCCTTTTGTTTGCCATTTATCTGGTCTTCCTCTTTGTCGAGCTGTTGCTTCATTTGCTGATTTTTCTGATGCATATTTTTTCCCTGTTCATATTCAATTTGCTGGCTTGAGTATCCATTTCATCTAGTCTTTCTGTTGCTTCCACCAGTTCATGGGAAGTTTGATCTTTATTCATTGTTCTTTGCAAAATGTTTTCCATTTTATCATCTATACCATTGATTGAATCCTTAATATTTTGGAACAACAAAGTCATCTCATTAAAAAGTCCTTTCATTTCCACAATCTCCAATCATAATAGCAATAAAGATGAAATAAACAATAAAGCCACAATCTAGTTCAAAAAGAGTCCAAATTTCCAATCATCAGTAGATGGAGCTCGCCTCTTGAATTTCCATGCTACTTTTTTTTCCAGCGGATATTTTTTTTTCACTCAAAATCCATTTCTTTCAAAACAAAGTCAATTATTTAAATGAGCCACTTCCAGTGTTTACTCTAATAGTCCAAGGTGTTTTCCAAGTTCTTTAAGTCTGCTCTGTGGTTTTAGTCTTTTACTGTAAATTTCCAGGAGTCTAGGAGTCGCTGTTCCTTTTGTGAGTAGATGGGGCTCTCAACTTATTTTTCAGCATAGATCTCTTTATCAAAATAATATTTTCTTTCGCTGCTTAAACTGTTATATTTTTAGAATATCTTCTCTAGGGTTTTTTCCCCCTTGAGGTAATTTTTAAGAAAAGAAAAATCATCTCACCCAGAAACAATCTTGTTCACTGTTCTCTTGGCTCCTGCACTTTCTTAGGTGTTCTGGCTATCCCCAGCTTCATTGCACCCATGTTGACTACCACTGCTCTACATCTTTGGATGAGGGGGAATTTTCCAAGTCAGGGAGGAGAGATGCAGCTCTCCTCGACCTGCAAGGTCCCCGCCTTTGCTTCACCACCCTTACAGGGTGGCTATAGCTCCTTTTGGAGTCTTCCAACATGGAGAGCTTTGAGTTCTTGTTTCTGGCACCACTGGAAGTACAACCGCACATGAAATGTCTTGGTAAGGCCGCACTTGGAATACTGCATCCAATTTTGGCCACCACGAAGTAAAAAAAATGTTGAGACTCTAGAAAGAGTTCAGAGAAGAGCAATAAAGTTGGGTGGTTTTCTTGGTTTGCTGTACAGTGGAGCTTAGGTTTCATTGCAAAATGATCCCTTTCAACCCTATGATTCTACCTTTTTTGGCCTGTTTTTCTTTCTCTAAACAAAAATATATCCAGATAATCTTCATTCATCTATCATCATGTAACCCTTCCAAAACCAAGGTATAAAAACATTTAAAAGCTTTTCTATAATGTGAATTTTTCAGACAAATGTGCTATTGTACTTTGTGCTAGGGTAGAATTTTAGCCTACAATGTCATGGAAATCTTAGGACCCTGAGGCATGAATAGAACAGAATAGTTGGAAAGGACCTTAGAGGTCTTCTAGTGGGCACACGGAGCCATATTGAGTGGCACGCCAGCCATCACACAGGTGGCACACGGAGCCATATTGAGTGGCACGCCAGCCATCAGCTCTGATGAACATGCGAGCCAGCTGATTTTTCACATTTCTGGAGAGCCAAGGGAGGCCATTTTCGCCCCCAAACTGGTTACCTGGTCACCGCTCGCTTGTCCCGCCCCACCACACCCATCCAGTCTCTACTCTACAGCTTGCTTGCCTGAAGTGCTGCGCCCCTGATCTGTCTGTTAGGTAAGATTACGAGTCGTGGCTTAGCTAGCTGCCCCTTCCCCACAGCCCTGCCATGCTTCCCTGCCTTCCACGTGCCTTCCCGACATTCCTATGGCCAGCTTGTGAAAGCAGACAAGCGGAAGGCCACGTGGAGGCAGGGAAGCATGGCATGGAGCAAGCAGCCTACTCCCCTCTCTGTGGCCTTGCCATGCTTTCTTGCCTTTCACATGGCCTTACTGGCAGAACCCCATGCCCGCTTGAGATCAGCATCCAGCTCAGCCTGGCCAGGGGGTGGCCCTCAATGGAAATGCAGATGGTGTGCTGGGGCTAAGAGAGGTGGCAGTGCTGATGCTGCAGGAGGGCAAGCGGACAACCCGGGGCTGCTGCACATGCACCTGACCCCTTTTTGCAAAGGCAGAGCGCCCGTCCCCGCTGCAGGAGGATGCTGCCTTCCACCCAGGCCCCCATTCTCCATGGCGCTTCAGGCTGCCTGCTCCTCGGCCCTGGTGCCGCTTACTACCACCAAAGAAGCAGAGCAAGAGGCAGTAGTCATGGGTGGGTGGGGGGCAGCCCGTCACACAGAGAGCGGGCTGCAGCCGATTCTCCTTCCCTCTGGAACTCCAGACTCCACAGGCCGAGTTCTCAGAGTAACGCCAGTGGTTGGTTCCTTCTCTTTGAGAGCTGCCTTGCAAAATGTAAGAAAATTCCCACTTTGCAAAACGGCTCGCGGCCATTGTGCTTCTTCAGAGGAGCTGAGGCTGGAGGGGGGGGTTAACACGGCTAGCCTAGCCCCACTCCCCAGCTGCCAACATCTCCCGAAGCCATCGCCGTTGCAGCTGCAAGAGGCACGGGGGCAACCTGGCAAGCTGGGCACCCAAAAAGTGCCCAGAGTGACCCATGGGCACCTGAACTGAAGGTGATGGTAGTTTCGAAACCTCAGGGATTCCGGGCGGCCGATATGCACAGGGAGCTGGGCTGGCTCCGGTTGTTCCTGAGCTGGAGGAGGTGATGGTCGCCTCGTGGATTCTGGGCGCCGCTGGGTGCTGGGCTGGCGCATTGCTTGCGAGGCGAGTGCTGCTGGAGAGAAATCAACACGAGGGGGAGAAGAAAACAAACTTCTGCTAGGAAAAGAGGGCCGCTGGGGAGAAATCAGGAGGAGAGGGAGAATGCCGTCATTAGCAGAAGCTCGGCTTTCTTCCTCTCCCCCTGATTTCTCCCTGGCAGCACTCACCAGGGAGTGCAAGCAAAGCAGTGTGTGTGTGTGTGTGTGTGTGTGTGTGTGTGTGTAAAACGGGGCCCGGATGCTACTTATCAGCTGGGAGGCTGGCAATGAAGCCTTGGTTTCCTCACTGCCACGACTCTCAGAGGAAAGAGGCAGGGATACTGGCCGGCACTCACTTCTCTTACTGCTCATCACCGCTTGCTCCCTTCCCTCGTTCCCGGCCAGCCACCCAGCTAATCAGGGCAGGGGGGGCTTGGGCTGCAGCCAGCATGGAGTGTGCGGTAATGCTCCATCCTACAGGGGCGGTGGCAGTGAGCAGTAAAGGAAGCGCGCACCAGCTAGTATTCCTGCCTTCTTCCCACAAGAGCCGCCACAGTGGGGAAACCAAGGCTTCTTTGCCAGCCTCCCAGCTGTTTGATCCCATCCAGCCCCCCCTTACACACACACACACAGAGCTTGCTGCTGTGCGAGGCGAGCGCTGCTGGGTAGAAATCGGGGAAAGGGAGAAGGCCATCCCTAGCAGAAGCTTGGCTTTCTCCTCCCTCTCCCCCTGATTTCTCCCCGGCACTGCTCACCTTGCGCTTCAGCAAGCAAGGTGGTTCTCAAAGAGAATGAAGTGGGCGCAGTGCTCTTCCAACAGCCGAGGAAGGAAGAGGAGCTGGCGCCTTGGCTGTTGGAAGAAGTGCCAGCACCTGCTTCATTCTCTTTGAGAGCCCCTTGCAAAATGGGGGATTTTCTGACATTTTGCAACCAAAGCCAGTCCAGTGCCCTGTGCACATGGGTTGCCCAGGAGCCCTGAGGCTCACAACTACTGTGTCCTGAAGCAAAAACGGTCTCCCACAGCCTCCCTTAGGCCCTCCAGAAGCTGGAAATGGCTTTAGGAAAGCCTCCGCAGGCTGAAGTGGGCAAAAAAATGGCCCCAACGGGCCAACCAGAAGTTTGGAAACGATCCGTTTCTGACTTCCAGAGGGCCTCTGAGGGGGGGCAGGGGAGGCCGTTTTCGCTCTCCTCAGGTTTGAGGAAAGCCTCCGGAGCCTGGAGGGGGGGGGGTTGCATGCACATGGGTGGGGGTGGGGTCACATGTGCATGCACAGTTAGGTGGGGAATTGAGGGCACACGGGTGCGTGCAGCAGTGCGCGCACATGCAATTCTGTCACACCGTTAAAAAAAAGGTTCGCCATCACTGCCCTATACCATTTCAGACTATTGGTTATCCAATCTTTTCTTAAAAACTATCATTGTTGGAGCATTTACAACGTCTGGAGGTAACTTGTTTCACTGATTAATTGTTCTAACTGTCATTAGTCGTATTGAGGAATAGCAGGGGGAGAAGATATCTTCTGATTTTACTTTCTTGATTTCAGCAGCAGAAATGTCTCAGAATACTTCTAAGAGACACATGGTGCTCAGTGAATCAGCTTCCCATTTATAAGATTCTGTTGATAGTGGATGCCAACCCACATATTCTAATTCCAACGGAAAGAGCTTTTACAATTTATTGAGCAGTTGCTTTCTGTTGTGCTAAGTCTCATAATCCTTATGACTTTACTGTACTAGAATAGCATTCTATATATATTTTAACATGGAACCACCCCAAATGACCAATCTGCATTACATTATTGTCTGTATAAATTAATCCAGAGCATATTTCAAGAATTAAAATAAACTATTTTTATTAAAAATATCTAAAACATTCTGTGATCAAATTAGCTTTTTTAAAGAAAAAATGAAGATAAAAAAGAAAGAATTCTGTCTGAAGTTAAGTGGTGGGTAACAGCAACAAATTCCCTTTTCCAAAGCAACAGTAACTTTTTTTAAAGTCCAATGTTCGATTTTTTTCCAACCCAGTACCTTTCAAATATTCTGGGATTATTTATTTATTTATTTTTATTTAACTGATTATAGTCTGCATAATTCAGCAGCATAGAAATTTAATAAAGAATACATCCACATGTCTGTGGAGATTCTCAGTCATCTAGATCATGGTTTTCCAGTTGCCTCTTGAAAAAGCACCTTTGGAATAATGCATCCACATTTGACTATGCCAAGTCCTTAGAAAGGACACATTAGATAGACAAAAGATAAAAGCTAATACCAGATATCTCGCAAAGTGTATGTGTTTATGTTTTATTTTAAGAGTAACATAAGATTGCTACATTATTTTTGTTTTGGCTCTAGATGTCTTCAAGATGCTGAAGAAATGGTGAAGATAGCTCTGTCCTTAAGCAAAACGCTGGAAGGCAAGGTAATTCCTTTAAAGATCAGTAATACCTAAAACTTTTTAGTTTATTTTTCAGTTCACTTTTCTTGACAGTAAATGAGATTCTGACATGTATGTTTGAAAGTTTTGTTATTGTGATACCCCATGTTGGCTAATAAATTACAATTTACAAATACAAATAAATTATGATTGGTATAAATTTCTAAATATTTCTGCCAGGAATATTAAACAGATTTCCAAAGTTGTTTTAAATTAGGCATCTCTGAACACTAGTGATATGTTAACTATGAAAGTTAAGTGGAGATCTGTATATGACAAATTCTGTTCCAGTTTGAGTAGAAAATTGTATGCATGAAAATTGTATGTATCCTCACTTAATGACAGTAATTGGACTGTAATTTCAGTTTCTAATTGATGCAGTAATAGATCATCACATCACATTATCATATCACTTTGTGAATGCCATCTGGGCAGTTTCCATTGCTGTTGCTAAGGGAAAATTGTGGTTTGTTAAGGAAGAATCTCACATGAGTATGTTTAGTAACTTTCTGCCAACTTCCCACAAGCAAATTTAATGGGGAAGTAACTGGAAATTGCATGTCCTGGGTGACTTGCAGGTAAGTCAAAGGGCAGGGGAACGCTAGGAGTTAGGTGGAAAGTTCTGTGTTAAGTTCTTGTGGGTTGGTTAGGGATTGCTACCATGCTATGTGGGTGTGAACAAGTTGGGGAGAGTGTCCTGCAGCATGATCTTGTGCTTTGTAGCAGGACAGTTGTTTAAAAACCACAGTTGTTTATTTTTAAAATTGTATGGCTGCTTTTCTATATGATACCTCTTTGTCAGATTATGATTACAGTGGTGAGAAGAAGAGCTAAATTTGAATGAGGAATGAATTTTGGATGAGTTGTTGGAAAACTGTTTTTTATAGAATGTTTTCATTTCTGGATTTTTTGTTTTATTTTTAATTACAGCATCAAGTAAATGAAGACATTGTGAAATGGCTCTCAAGGATGGCTCAGGGCTCTTTAGCTCCTCTCACAGCTGCACTTGGTGGTATTGCTAGTCAGGAAGTCTTAAAAGCAGTGACTGGAAAGTTTTCTCCCCTGCAGCAATGGGTAATGGCCTGTTGCTTTTGAATTGAATGATTCATGTTTATGACTGATTTCAAGTAATATGCTAATATAATTTATTGGGTTTTGGTCTTGTATGCTGTGGGCATTTAGCTATTGTTTAATAAACCATGTTTTTGTAAAGAATGTATGACCCGAGGCATTAATTCTTATATAGTGTCAAAAGTCTGAAGTGTAACTTTCTCAAAATGATTTTTATGTGACATAAGGGGAATATTTTTTAAATAAATGACTAAAGAATAATATTTCTTACTTTTATTATTTTGAAAGTAAATTACTGTATTTTTCAGACTATGAGACACACTCCCCCCGCCCCACAATGGGTGGAAATGTCTGCATCTTATAGAGCGAATGTTGCCAAAGTCCCGCCCAATCGCTGGCCTCTCCCTCCCAGCAAACAGCTTGGTCAGCTTAAGCACAGCTTAATTTAGCACAAGCAGCTGATTGGCAGTTGGATTGGCCTCCAGAATACCACCAATCAGCTGTTCCACATTGCAGGAATCGGCACCACCCATCAGCGCCGGCACCACCCATTGCTGCTGTTCCCTTTCATCTCCATCCACCCCATTTTTGGCCTCCATCCACTCTATTTATGACCTCCACACGTCCCAGTTTTGGACCGTTCCAGGCAGTGGGGATCTACTCAGCTGCTCATACTAAATCAGGCTGTGCTGAAGCTGACCGAGCTGTTCATGCAAGGAGGCAAACTGCTGCGAGGCAGAGGCAGATTTTTTTTCTTGTTTTCCTCCCCAAAAGCTAGGTGCATCTTATAGTGGGAAAAATATGGTATCCTCTAATTCAGGAACAACAGGAAAGAAAGAAAAAACGTAGAAACAGGATTTTTTCACCATCTCCTTCATTGTGCTATAGCTGAAGGGAATCAGTGATCATACCATGCTTTTCTACATACCGTATTTTTTGGAGTATCAGATGCTCTGGAGTATAAGATGCACATTAGTTTTTGAGGAGGAAAATAAGAAAAAAAAATTGCCTCTGCCTACCAGCATCCATCGGTATTCATCACATTAATCTGATTCACTACAAGCAGCTGATTGGCAGAGGGATCGGCCTCCCGGAATATCCCCGTTCTTCAAAGTGCTGCTTGGAGAGTCCAAGCATGGGTTAACACAGTCTATCTGCCCTAGGACTGAGTATCTTTTTTCCTTGACCACGCCTCCCTTTGCCTCTACAATTTCAGTTTAAAAACTCAGTCCGCCTGTGAGGATTTGAATTTGGGGAGTTCCTCGATCCTAGAGTAAATAGAGTGGACTTCCCATTATAATTACTCTTCAGTTGTTAATTGCCATCCTTAAGACCACCTGGAATCATCTGAATGAATCATCTGAATCATCTGAGAGTTGTAATGATTATTACAGCTGTTTGTCACTGCTGAGGGGTTGCCGGTGCCGCTGGCTACCGCTGGTGAAAGCAGAGCGAAAGTGTGAGTTGTTCGTCCGGCGGCTGCTGGCGAACGGTGGGGGACGGCGGGAGGCTTCCCATTTGGCGTTTCCCCTGTACGCTAAGCGTTTTGGAGCAGCACGGAGCCTTCTCCAGGCTCGGAAGGGTGCGAGCGGCTCTCAGTAAAACCGGCAGCCGCGTTGGCCATTTTCAGAGTTTCGCGCGCTTTACCCCAGCGACAAGGGCAGGAATTGCGTGCGCAGCGGCAGCCATTTTGGGTGAATCACTTCAGAGCCGCATGTAGCCATGTGTGAGCGGAGGCTTTAGTGGTGAGCTACATCGAACCAGAGAAGCGGCATCCATTGTCTCCTGCTTGGAACCGCTACAGTTGGGTGGGCCACCTGAGAACCCCAGCAGCATTGGCGGATCGCCATCTGGGAGATCGGAGACTTGGCTGGGGTGCCAGCAAATCGCCCCTCCCGTGTTACATCAGTCGGAGGACTGTGGGCGGCCTGAGGAAGGGTTTGGTCCCACGGGCACCCCTCTCCTCCAAACGATCTGCGGGCGCTCGCAGCCAGCTGGCTCGTGCCCAGTCCGGCCTAGTGACACAGCTCCTTCGTCACCCTCTCCTCGGCTGAACCACCATGCCAGACGGAGGTTTGGAGCTTCAAGAGGCACAGTCAGGGCCCTCAGCCAAGCAGGCTAGACTGGATCACCTGCCCAAGGGGGGTAAAGGGAGCAAGGGTCCTTCAAGTAGGAACCCCACGGGGCCTTCTGGGAGAAATGAGAAAAAGGACAGTGCCGAGCACCGCAAGGCAGGGGGAGTTCCTCTAAACCACGGGAGCCAGATCCATCCCCAGAATGCAGGGAGGCACCTGATCCCATCCCAGGGCAGAGGATTGAACAGGGGCTTGACTCCCCCAGGGCAAGCAGGTCTCCTTCATCATCAGGGGATATCTCTAGAGATTCCTCCCCTGAAGCTTTGTGGGGCTATCCTGACTCACCCAGTTCTTCCCTGAGGGAGGAACTGGCGCCATCTCAGGGCTTTCTCCCCTCAGAGGAGGTCTCCACCTCCGGGGGTTGCAGAAGCCGGAGGGCTTCTAGCAGGGCCCATCGCAGAGAGAGTAGGAGGTCAGCCCTGTCCGCAGAGATGAAGGAGGTCATATCTCTGGCCATCTCCCAGGGCATTGTGGAGGGCATGAAATATCGTACCGACAAAGAGGCTCTTCCAAAACCTAAACAGGTCCAAGCAGACCTCTGAGCAGGCTCTGGCCTCCCCCAGCACATCGGTGGCTAGGGAGGAGTCCGCCTTGGAAGAGAGAGAAGTGGAGGACTTTGAATTGTCAGAGGATGAGGACCTCCCTCCAGATAAGCCAGCCTTCACCGGTCTTTTTAAGCCTTCTCTCTTTAAGTCCATCCTACATAAGGCAAAGGCAGCCACAGAGTTAGGATCTCCCTCCAAGGGGTCCACAGCTGGGGCCTCAGGCACCAGGGACCACAAGGAAGGCCTGTTAAGGAGCCTGCCCCGATACAGGAATTCATTCCAGGGCCGGGTCTTTTTATGGATGTTGTCCAGAGGCAGTGGATTCAACCTGGGACCTTGACCAACCCTAGCGGGGAGGACAAGTCTCTTTATACCATGGAGCATAAGATGGAGGAGACTCTGAAGCTACCTGAGGTAGACGCTCCAGTAGTCTTCCTGACCTCTACCTCCAATCTACCGGCGGAGAAAGTCGGTAGAAAGTCTCAAGGCGGAGGATAAGAAGTCAGAAAAGGCTCTAATGGCTGCCTGGGCCATTAGAGCTTCCATCTCTGCCTCATTTTTCATAAGATCTTCTCTCCTCTGGCTGAGGCAATTGAGATCTAGGCCCCACTCTGGGGGATCTCGATGGAGGCACGACTTAACCAAAAGTATCACTGCCGTGGAATATTCCGCTGATGCGTCCTTGGACGCAGCAAAGTTTGCATCCCGGGTACTAGCTTCTAACGTTACCTCTTGCCATCTGCTCTGGCTTTGCCACTGGCAAGCGGAGATGAAGGCGAAATGAAAGCTGGCATCCGCCCCATTTAAAGGGGGCCCCCTCTTCGGAGATGCCTTAGATAAATTCACCATTGAGACTAAGGATAAGAGGAAAATTCTTCCAGCGACCCTTAAGAAAGCTGTGGGATCTGCAAGGGATCTGGCTCCTTTCTGAGGCAGACCTTTCGAGCACAGGACAATGCCCAACCTTCCACCTCCTCTTCTTAACATAGGCCTTACTCCCAACTGGGTGATAGAGGTCAGGACAGGGGTTCCTTCGGTGCACAAGGTAGGCAACAACATCAGCAAAGCTCCTTTCGCAAGCCCTTTCGTGGTGGATCCAAATCCTGGAACTTCCACAGAGGGAATTGACCACCACAGGGATCCCCCATAGGGGGCCAGCTTCAATTTTATGCCGACGGGGAGAGATAACCACAGACAAATTGGTGCTGAATACGGTAAGGAAGGGTCTCCTTCTGGAATTTCTGTCATTTCCCCAAAGAACCTTTATCCGTTGCCCCTCTCTCAGGAGTCCCCTGAAAAGGGAACTCATACAAGCGGAGATCCACCACTTAATCCAGATAAAAGCCATAGAACCAGTTCCCAAGGAGCAGGAGAAACAGGGGTTTTACTCAGTCCTGTTTCTAGTGCCCAAGGCATCGGGGGGATGGAGGGCCATCTTGGATCTGAAGCGCCTGAACCTCCATCTGGCATATTGGCGGTTCAAAATGCAATCCCTCAATGCCATCTTGGATTGCATAAGATAAGACCTCCTCATCTCAATAGATCTAAAGGAGGTCTATCTTCATGTCCCCATCCACTCAGCCCACAGGAAGTTCCTGAGGTTTTTCTTTGAAGGGGAGCACTACCAGTACCAAGCTCTCCCCTTTGGCGTTTCATCGGCACCCAGAACATTCACGAAACTCTTGGCAGTAGTAACGGCCCACCTCCGGAGTCACTCCATCCGGCTGGAGTGTTATCTCGATGACATCATAATCCACTCCTCAAACCAAGCCCAAGCTCGGCGGGATGTCCGGACTGCCATCTGAACACTCCAGCAACACGGCTTCTCAGTAAACCTGAAGAAGAGCCACCTGGAGCCAACTACACGCATACAACACCTGGGGGTCATTCTGGACTCGAACTCTTGTCAGGTTTTCCTGCCTCCAGAACGGTTGAGATCTTTCCGGGACAGAGTGTGCCTTTGCAGCGCATCCAGGTCGGTACAGATTGTCCAATTGTCACAACTTCTGGGCATTATGATTTCCTGCCTGAAGGTAGTTCCCTGGGCTCGTTTCCACGCCAGGGAACTACAATGGTTCCTCCTGCCCATGCAAAGGGTGAGGAACAGCAACTCGCGCAGGCATGTGCTAGTTCCACCAAAGGTGCTCCGCTCTCTGACTTGGTGGAAGGCAAAAGCAATGGAGAAAGGGTCTCTGTTCAAAGAACCCAAGAAAATTGTCGTGACCTCAGATGCCAGCCTACAGGGGTGGGGAGCTCATTTCCAGGGCCAGCTAGCTCAGGGACTGTGGAATCAGAGGGAGTCCTCCCACAGCATAAACTGGTT